AGAGTCCCTCACCGGGGACTTTGGAAATGAATTTCCTCTCTGCTTGGAAAGATCTGGCCCTTGACCTGGGAGGCCCCTAACCAGCTTCGATTCAGTGACAACAGGACCAGTGTTTACTTGGAACAAAGCACCATGGGAAATGAAAGCTGAATCAGAGCTGGCCAGCCCCTGCACCCTGGTGGGGACATTAGGACGGTCCACACATCTTTGAGGGAGAATGGCCAAGGGCTGTCCAAGGCCCAGGGAGAGGAGAAGCGCAGTGGGGGAGGGAGCCATCACTTCTTGCAGGAAGATCCAAGTCCCGGAAGGCTTTCTGGAGGAGAGGGTATTTGGGCTGAGCCTTGAAGAATTTGCTGGGTTTCAGACAGGAGGATGAGGAAGTGTTCTAGGTGGACAAAACTGCCCAGCAGAGGCCAGCAGAGAGGCAGAGAGGGTAGGGTGAGGGGCTGGAGAGCAGGGGAGGAGGGCAGGGAGCTCACATTGGAAGGGCTGGTCATGGACTCTGATGGTCTCCTGAGATGGGACTTGAAGGTTTGAAGCAGGAGAAGTCACGTCTCACCAGGGGCTACAGGGAGTCCAGCCTACAGGCCTCATTGAAGGTGCTCGTAATGTCGCTGATGAGCCAGGCAGCATGAGGGTGATGGCAGTGGGGATGAGGGGAGGGGACACCTGGGACAGGCACAGTCTCCTGTCTGTCCTGAGAGCTCTCAGCCTGAGGGTAGAGGTGGGCACCGTGCTCAGAGGGCTGGGAGCAGAAAGGAGAGCGTGCACCAGGAACAGTAGAATCACTCGGATCTCCAGCCCGAGGGCCACTTCCAAGAGTGGTCCTACCAGGTCATCCTTTGAAGTGCCCACTAGCCCAGCCCTCTCTAACCTACTAGCAGAGGGGGCTCACGAGTCAGGTATGTGCAGGGGTGCCAGAGAGCCCGGGTGGCCCTGGGAGGGAGGGGAGACTCTCAGTTCCTGGGCATCTCACTCTGCCTCTTGTTGGAACGGAGAGAAGAGCCCCTGGCCACTTTTCTGTACCAGGAACAAAAAACATCAGCCAACATTTGTCTGTACTGTACGCCAGACACTGAGGAGCTCTATCATACCCACAACAGTCTACGTGGTGTGGGAGGTACTCTTAGACAACTCCTAGCCCCAACTTTAGCAGAGCAGTTTAGAGAGGCACGGAGAAGGGCAGTTTCATGTCTAAGGTCACACAGCATGCCAGAGTAGGTGGCATACTCACATGACACAATACTGCCCCTACAGGCAGAGCCAGGCTACAGCAGAGCATTCTGCCAGTTTGGCAGAGAGCCCACCCAGTGTCCCACTAGCTGTTACAGGTATTATGGACCCCCGCAGTTTGGCGGAGTGGGAGCGTGCTCAGTGGGACCGAACTCAGTCTGGCTCTTTCCTCTTGGCTGGGCTGGGCCAGGCTGGGCATGGCTTCCACCCCCAACTCCCAGTGGGGCTTCCTCCAAGGGAGAAGCAGCTCCGCAGGCGGAGGTGTGTCTGCCTGTGCTGGGTGTGGGGTCCCAGGACCTGTGTGGTTCTGGTTCTGACTCAGCCCCCATGTCCTGTGTGACTTGGCCTTCCCGCTCCTCTGGGCTCTTGTTGCCTTCTCTGAGAAGGGAGTGGGTGGGCCTGCTGACCTCGCAGGCCCTTCCAGCTGGGCCCTTGGAGGACGCACAATCAGTCTGTTCTTTAATAAATGGGCCAGGGAGAAGGCGAGAGCATATGAAGATATTTTGACTTTACTGCTCTTGGGAAACCCCAGATGGAATCTGGTGTGGAATCCACAGGGACCCACTGCATGAGGTCTCTGGGTCACCCCACCCCCATGTCCCAGCATGCCTGAGCAGACCCATGCACGCAGGCGCGGGTTTCCCTTCCAGTGTGGGATTGAGTGTGGAACAGAGGGGTGCTGTCCCTGCACGGGACCCTCCTACCCCAAGACAAGAACAGTCCCTTCTCTGCTCAGCCTGGGGCCCCATGGAACCCCTACCCCGCATCTGACTTCATCCACCAGGAATGCTGGAACCATGGTGAATGCTGTCCAGGGCCTGGTGCTCTTGACCTGCCCTGGGACCACCCACCTCTGGGCTCCTTGCCCCTTCCCCATCTGCAGGAAGGAAAGTGGAGGGGAAGTTTGGTGTCATGGAAACAATTGGGGGTCCCTAGGCAGGTTCTGGGGACCCTTTGGACTCTATCCAATGGGGCAAGTTCCAGGGACCTCGCTTTTTCCACTGGGAAGGATAGGGCTGTCCAATTTAACAAATAAAAATGCTGGACACCTATTTAACTTTGAATTTCAGATAAACAACAAATAGATTTTAGTATAAGTCCATCCCCAAGTGTTGCATGGGATATATTTATTGGGGGGGGGGTGCTAGGGATTGAACTCAAGGGCACTCAATCACTGAGACCCATCCCCAGTCCCATTTTGTATTTTATTTAGAGACAGAGTCCCACTGAGTTGCTTAGCACCTCGCTTTTGCTGAGGCTGGCTTTGAACTGGCGATCCTTCCGCCTCAGCCTCCAGAGCTGCTGGGATTGCAGGTGTGCACCACCACACCTGGCGGAATATACTTATACTAAAAGAAAATCACTTGAAGTTTATCTGAAGTTCAAATTTAATTAGGCATCCTTTTTCTAGGAATCCTAGATGCAGGTCAGGTGGATGCAGGGACCCAGAAGGGGAGTGATGTCAGGCTCCCCTCCTCCTGCCCCTCCTTGGGGCACTGGTGCCTGCCTTGTTCCTTCACCTCTCCAGCCCTCCCAGTCTCCCACCAGGCCCTTCTCAGGACACCTTCCTCCCTCAAGCTCAGCCATTCTTCTCTTCCCTAAGACCCACACCTCTGTAAGGCTCCAGGCCTGGGCAGGGTGGCAGGGAGGGGAAAGGGGTGCTGGTCTAGTGGGACTGTGCAGGGACAGGGGCAGAAGCCCAAGTGAGCAACAATTTCACTAAAGCGGTGGAAATGTGGGTGGTGTTGGGAGAAGGTTCCAGCACTCTCAGGACTAGGTCCCCTTAGGAAGGGAGGCAGTCTGGGTCTACTTCCAACAGCAGGGGAAGAGGTGAGAGGTGCTCGCTCCCACCCAGCCCAGCCCATTCACCAAGCTCCTAGTCACTTTAGATTGGAGACTTTAAATAGAGGAGGAATTTCTGGGGCCGGGTCCCTTTTGAACTTGTCTCAGGAGACTAAAAGATTCCATTTTTTGTTTGTTTGCTTGTGCATGGGTGATTGAACCCAGTAGCACTCTACCTCTGAGCTATATCCCAGTCCTTTTATTCAATCTCATTTTGAAACAGGGTGTCACTAAGTTGCCTAAGCTATCCTGGAACTTGTGATCTTCCTGGCTCAGCCTCTCCAGTGTGCCACAGGCACAGGCACCCGGTTTTGGGGGAAGATTTTATTCTAAGGAGTGAAAAAGGTCAGAGGGAAGTGAGAAACAGAGACAGAGAGACAGAGGGAGATACGTCAGAGAGAGAGAGAGATGATAGATATGGGGGGGAAACGGACAGTAGACTGGTGGTCAAACGCCGTCATGGGAAATGGAAACAGAAAAACAGACACCTCCACTGAGACCAATAGAGTAACATCAGAAACGGACGGGAAACAACTGGGATCCACAGAAATCGGGAGAAACTGGGTGCACATAAAGATGAGGAGGGGGGAGCCAAGACAGGAAATCACAGGCTGGGGAAAAAGGGAAGGAAGATACAAAGAAGTTCAATGGGACAGATAGTAAGCTCAGGAGAGAGGAAGAAACAGGCAAGAGGCAGAGAAAAGCGGAAGGGACAGGCAAGGAGGACTGCTGTCCTAAGGAACCAAGATGCTACTGA